CTGGTAATCCCAGCTACTCGGGAGGCTGAGGCAGGAGAATTGCCTGAACCCAGGAAGCGGAGGTTGCGGTGAGCCGAGATCGCGCCATTGCACTCCAGCCTGGGTAAGGGGGAGCGAAACTCCATCTCAAAAAAAAAAAAAAAGATACTGGATTGAGGGTGGCCCTTAAACCTACGTAGTCTGACTCCAGAACCTGTGATCTTCACCGTTGTTTTATTGGTGGGTGAATGGATTGATGAGTGCAGTGAACAAAAGTTGTAACTATCCATTTCACAAACAGCTTTGTGGTTGCAGTGGTGCGATCTCAGCTCCCTGTAACTTCCGCCTCCCAGGTTCAAGTGATTTTCCTGCCTCAGCCTCCCAAGCAGCGACTACTGGCACCCACCGCCACACCCAGATAAATTTTTGTATTTTAATAGAGACAGGGTTTCGCTGTGTTGCTCAGGCTGGTTTCATACTGAGTTCAGGCAATCCGCTTGCCTCACCCTCCCAAAGTGCTAGGATTACAGGCATGAGCCACTGCACCCAGCCAAGCTGGGTCTTTTGAATGGCTATGGAGTATTCAGTGAGGCGGCCCTAGGTGATGTCATAACACCTCTGTTTGTCCAGAAGGCTGTTAGTATACGTGCTATCCTGTTAGAATCCTTGTGCCAAAAATAGAAATAGGAAAGGCAAAGGAGGATATATCCCTAGATTGCCAAAATGGTGATTCAGAATTGCTTGAGATACTGGTTTACTGCCTACAGTCATGTCAAATATGTTATGATGAGCATGTGTCTGGAAGTTTATGGAGCAAAGGTAAGGATTATGGATTGGGGCAGCGTTGCCTCAAGAGCAGAAGGCAGAGACATCAAAAATGGCATTACCAGTCTTAGTATCCTTTTCTAGATATTCCATTGCTGCTTGCAGTAAGTTGAGACTTTCTTTGCAGCGAAGAATGAGGGAAACATTTAAAAGGTAATAACTTTCCCCTCATGTGATCCAGCCTTCTTTAATGCCATGTCATGTGCCAACAAAAGTCTCATATAGCATCAGTGGTACAGGCTCTTGCTCAGGAAATACGTGTAAAAGAGGGGAGGTGCTGGACTTAGGGGATCTGGGGTCTAGTGTTGATTCTGTCACTGTGAGACCTTGAAAGTCACACAAACTAAGTTTCCTCTTGTGGTTTTTTTTCTCCATGGAGTGTAATGGAAATAAGACATGATGTCAGTACGCATGAACAACTGCTTGAACTATGTGTGCTCGTTTAAGCATTAACAGAAAGTGCCTTTGGACAAAAGCTTTGGAGACATGAAACACAGGCCCCAGCTGGATGTGGAAACGGGTGGGGAAGTACATGCCATTTGACAAGTACCTCTCGAAGACAGTTGTGAACAGTCCTCATCGGGTGTGAATCGGGAGGTGGATTGATTGCTAAGGACTTTAGACTTGATAAGGCAGAGCCTTGGAGGCCATTTCAGATAGAAAGTCTTCAAGCATCTGACTACTCTGGTAGGGTTGGAGGGTGGAGGGCCAGGAATACCCCGCCAAGTAAAGTGTGATGCCCGAGAAGGTTCTGAATTCAGGATTCCACCTGGCTCCCTTGTGCCCCGCTGTCTCTCAGGTATGTGGAGTGTTTCTCGGTGCTCACTGCAAGGCCACCCTGAAAAGGCCCGGTGGGTGACTGTCAGGAGCGCAGGAATCTCCTGGCTCCCTACTTCCAAAGTGCCAAGGGCGACAGGGCTGCAGAGAACCCCGGAAGGTGTGCATTGTTTCCACGTTATTTGGAGTTGCCCACTCCGATGGGTTTTTTTTTTTTTTTTACTTCTCGGTCTCCCCCACCAACTGGCTGTGCCTTCTGCCCTGCAGGCACTCAAACATGCTGGGCAGGCCCGCCAGAGGACAGCAGCACTGACGTCCTTCCATCACCTCCTGCCCCTCGTGCCCTCCCCACATGCGATAACCAAATGGAACTTGTTACTTTTTCTTGGGGCTAGCTTTGGTCTCCCATGTTTTCGTTAGCTTGATTTCGTGCCTCTCAAAGCCATTTTCAGAGGCTCTGTGGTACTGGGTGTGGAGCCCTCATCCTGATGCGAGGTCGGGAAGGGGCACGCCCTGGGCATAAACCAGAAGGAAGGGCTGGAGGAGTCCGGGAACCTTGGGATTGAAGTGTGGGCCTCGGTAGTCAAACTGTTTCTCTCCTGGCCTGGGAAGGAAGCAAGGGGTGAGAGGGTGGAAGTGGGGTCCATGCTGAGGAAGGGGTGCAGGTGCCCAACATGATGGCGGTCCCCTCTCTCTATTTGTATCTGGGTGATAGGTACTAAAGAGCCTTTGCAGGGGAGAGAAGTCACACAGGGGAGCCCAGAGCCTGCTTTAATGGGGGAAAGGGGCACATGAGACAGTCCTCACAGTTTGACCAAAAAAACAGTGTGATCATTGTATGGACAGGAGCCTTGGTTGCATTTTGGCCCTGGCAGGGAGAGACACCCTTCTCTTACAGTGTTCCCTGAGTGACCGCCAATCTGCAGCCGTCCAGGGAAGAGAGGGAGGGAGTGAAGAACATGTGTTTTGGACTCTGGGTTTGTTGTCGTTGTTAGAGGCAGGGTCTCACTCTGTGGCCCAGGCTGGAGTGCAGAGGCCTGATCATGGCTCACTGAAGCTTCCACCTCCGCAGCTCAAGCGATCCTCCCACCTGAGCCTCCCAAGTAGCTGGGATTACAGGCTCACACCACCATGCCCATCTCCTTCTAGTTTTTTTCTAGATGAGGAAACTGAGCCACCAAAGATAAGTACTAGCAGTTCATGCGTGTGGCAGAGTCAGATTCAGCCCTGGCCGGACTGATTTCTGCATCCAGGAGGGGAGATAGAAATCTCAGGGTCTCAACCATGTACAAATAACGCACATTCCCAGAACATAGAGCCAGGGACAGTCCCCTCTCAGTTCTCTTCGAAAGGTGGTTCTGGTGCAGCAATTGATAAAGCTGTGTCCCTGAAGGGCTTTTTAGCCCCTGGTGCTTCCTGTAAAACTTGTCCGCTCCCGCTTGACCTGCGGGACTCTGTCCCTTACAGCTGAACACCTGGCCCTGCGGAGAGGACTTGAGGAAACAAGGTATAATAATGTACTTTTTCCCGTCCACAGATGGATCTGTCTGTAGAAACCCTGTTCAGCTTCATGCAGGAGCGCCAGAAAAGATACGCCAAGTACGCTGAGCAGATCCAGAAAGTGAACGAGATGTCCGCCATCCTCCGCCGCATACAGATGGGCATCGACCAGACCGTGCCCCTGCTGGACAGGCTCAATAGCATGCTCCCCGAGGGCGAGCGGCTGGAGCCCTTCAGCATGAAGCCTGACCGCGAGCTTAGGCTGTAGCTGCTTGGGGCCCGGAGCCTGCAACACCCAAACCTTGAGGATGTTTGGAGCCAAAGTCGTATCATCTGACCAGGGCTGGAGTGATAGCGCGAGGCTCTGGTACTCCCTGAAGCGGGTGTGAAGGAGTCCGGCTGGCGTGAAAATCTGACTTTGCCCAACCCTTTTCCTTGATGCAATTTCCCTGTGTGAAAGGAACCAAACCAATTCTCAGTGATAACTGAAGCTGGAACATGTGACTTATTAGGAATTCTTTGACGAACTCTGCATCAAGAGTTATTTTTAGTTTTTTTTTTTTTTTAATTGAGAGTATATAGTATAGTCCAGGTGCTGGAATAAAAATATGGAGACAAGGGGAGAAATATGTTACGAAGCTCTGTGTTCTCAGTGCCTGAGGTGAACTTTCAGTCGGCTCTCCGGCTTAGGTGTTGTAAACATGAAAATCTAATTGAATCTAGGTCTCTGTGTTGTTCCCGTTTCTGCCCTGCCTGTTTCCATCACACCAAGTCCGTATCTGGGGCGCGTCTTCCTGCCCAGGAGGAACACTGGCGTTTTGTTGTCTGCCAGGTTATGGTGTCCCTTAGTCGTCATCAGAAACCGAAGCCTCCCTTTCCACACCCTCATCAGATGCATCTCCACTGATAAACGGTTTCCTTGATGCAGACGTAGTTTAGCTTTCTTTCAACACCGGCAGGATTTCAATTTTTGTAACAAGGTTTTAAGCAGCATGTGGTTTTACTAGCCTAGAAAACGTGTGAGATGAGAAGGCTCTAGACACTGACTGCAGAGATCTCTGATCCCACGGCATTTCTTGAGCCCATTTCATGTGTCCGATATTGTGCCTGGGTTACAAATACGGCCAGAGAGCCTCCGGCCTTCATTTCTGAAAAGAAGAAACTCAAAACGCTGCTGAATTTCCCTGGGAGCTTAGGAAAGGAAGTGATGTGAGTAACAACAGAAGTGCTTCGTGTAGTACTTTGCACACCATAGGTGCTCTGCTTGAAGGAAGGACGGGAGGAGCAAAGAATGGAATGTGGGGAGCACACCTAGGCAGACACCTTGAGACCAAGAGGCAGGGCTGAGGGGAGTCGCTGGGGCCGGGCTGCCATACAGGCCTGCGTCCTGTTCCCCGCGTTCCTCCAAGCCTTGGGAGGTGTGTTTTCGGATGCCAGAAAGAGCTTTCAGTAGATTCACAGGATTAAAATTGATCCACTTAATTTAATGTATCTTGGCTAACCTTGATCTGATTCTAATCTTGCTGCGTTGCTCAGGCTGGAGTGCAGTGGCGCAATCATAGCGCACTGCTGCCTCAAACTCCTGGGCCCCAGGGATCCTCCCGCCTCAGACTCCTGAGTAGCTGGGACTACAGGTGTGTGCCACCAAATCCAGCTAATTAAAAAAAATTCTTTTTTTTTTTTTTTGAGACGGAGTCTCGCACTGCCGCCTGGGCTGGAGTGCAATGGCGTGATCTCGGCTCACTACAACCTCCACCTCCCAGGTTCAAGTGATTCTCCTGCCTCAGCCTCCCAAGTAGCTGAGATTTCAGGTAAAAAAATCTTTTTAAATTTTATATTTTCAAATTTGAAAGAATAATACAATGAATATTCATATTTCTTTCATCTAGATTGACAGGAAGTGGTATTTTTAAGACATCACCCGTCATTGTCTTTCTTCTGAGGTATACAGAACCCAGTTCTGAACACGGGATATGTTTATAACTTCAAAGAATGAAGGGTTGATTGTTTATAGAGCTACAAAAATAGCTCAGGTGCTGTTATCCTCACTGCACTTTTTTTTTTTTTTTTTTTTTTTTTTTNTTTTTTTGAGACCAAGTTTCGCTCTTGTTGCCCAGGCTGGAGTACAGTGGTGCGATCTCGGCTCACCACAACCTCCACCTTCCAGGTTTGAGTGATTCTCCTGCCTCAGCCTCCTGAGTAGCTGGGATTACAGACATGCGCCGCCATGCCCAGCTAATTTTGTATTTTTAGTAGAGACGGGGTTTCTCCGTGTTGGTCAGGGCGGGTCTCGAACTCCCAACCTCAGGCGATCTGCCCGCCTCGGCCTCCCAAAGTGCTGGGATTACAGGCATGAGCCACTGCACCTGGCCCTTACTGTATTAATATAGGTGACACGCGAAAGCACAGAGTGGGAGGCAGTTCAAGCCTGCGACGGCTGAGCTTTTCCAGTGTTGCAGCGGTTAGTGGTTGGCACGGGGCAGAATGGCAGACCCAGCGCGGCACAAACTGCACAGCCAGCCAGCTCTCCAGCAACTGTCTCCTTCTGAGGAAGTTAGATAAAACATGGGGTTAACTTAGATTGGGTCCTGAGTAGGTAGGCGATAGGCTACTTATTACTAGGTGGAAGCAGAGAAGTATGGCAGAAGAGCAATAGGAAAATTCAATATTTTTGCAAAGAATTCTAGTTTAATATTGATGGTGTGTCGTGGTTTTTGCAGTGTTGTCAGCGTGGCTAAACTGAACTGTTTTCCCAGAATTCCCTTCTGTGTTTGCTTCTCTGGTGAGGGCTGGCCACGAGAGAGATTTGCCTGAGGTTTGGAAGTGGATGCAGAGCGATAGCCGTGTGTAGTCACTGAAAGCTGATGTAGGTCAGGCCCTGTTCCATCTCGTGCATGGTTCCATGGATCTCCAGCACTTGTGTGGACAGTTGCTGGGCCCACAGCTCCTCCAGCTCCCACAGAACTCTGCCTTCGCCTTTTCCAAACCCTGGGCCAGGCATGAGGACCAGCTTCTCGGTCTCCAAACGCAAGGATGAAGGCTTGGGGATGAGGAGAGGCCGGCGCGGGCTGTGGTGAGAGGCAGGGGCAGGTCCTGGCTTGTTGCCTGCAAGTCTCGGTTGTCCTTACTCTCCCCCACCGTCCCTCCCGACAGAAACAGCAGAACCGAGACCTTTCCCAGCCCTTGTATTGCTTAAGTCATATCCCTTTACCAGTCCTCTCATTCTACTTCATCCCTAGTTGTTCTTCTCTGATTGAACCTCTGACTGGTAACACGGTGTTACCAGTCCTTTCCCTCTGATGTTTTGCTATTTCCTGATGGAACCTGGCAGTCTGAGTGATTTGTATTTCAAGAAGCAGTTATGCTGGATCTCTTTGTTGGTTAATACCCCATGACCTCTCTGGCCATTATGAGAAATTTCAGGGATAGGAGTTGTGAAAGAGCCCTTGGCTGGATGTTTCTGGCCTTACTCTTTTGGCAAGCCATTTCATTCTCTCAGCCTCAGTTTCCACCTCCCTACAGTGTGAGCTAGTTTGGGTGGGCTCTCAAGGCCCTTCCAGCTCTACATTCCAAGTCTGTGATTCTGATTAAGCTCTTTACTGCAGTGAGCATGTTATCTGTTGTCTCTGAGCAATGGCCCTAGGTCAAGATTAAAATAGATCTGTTTAGTTTAATGTATCTCGGCTAAACTTGATCTGATTCTAATCTTGGTTTGAGACAGGGTCTTGCTCTATTGCTCAGGCTGGAGTGCAGTGGCGCAGTCATAGTGCACTGCTCCCTCAAACTCCTGGGCCCCAGGGATCCTCCTGCCTCAGACTCCTGAGTATTTGGGACTACAGGTGTGTGCCACCAAATCCAGCTAATTTAAAAAAAATTAATTCTGAGCTCGTAAGGTAGAGCTGCTTGTCTTCCATTCAATTATAAATTAGGTGTTTATTGGCTGCTGCTTTCTAGAGCCTGTTTTGTGTATCCAGCGATCTGTTCATTTATGAACACTGTCAAATAGGCCCCTACCTGCAGTCTCCTGGTTTTACTGGTTGAAGTGCAAGGTTGGTAGAAACTGGCCGTCACCCCTTGTATTATGTGTATATAAATTTATAGTAAATGAATTGTGGAGTGTAGCTTTACAGATTTCACATCTTTGTTTCTCTCAAAGTTTTATTCTTAGTAACTGTATATATAGTTTTATAGACTATACACATATAGTCTCCCGTGTCTTAGATAATATCCTTAAAATATATTTTGAACCTAGATACCTACCTAGTGTTCTCTGCACAGAGTAAATATTTGATTAAATGAGTTTCAAGGACTCCATAGCCTGATATAGGAGTACATTCAATAAATGAATTTAGGCTGGGCGCTGTGGTCCATGCCTATAATCCAGCACTTTGGGAGGCTGAGACGGGTGGATCACCTGAGGTCAGGAGTTCAAGACCAGCCTGACCAACATGGTGAAACCCCATCTCTACTAAAAAAATACAAAAATTAGCTGGGCATGGTGGCTGGCACCTGTAATCCCAGCTACTTGGGAGGCTGAGGCAGGAGAATCACTTGAACCTGGGAGGCAGAGGTTGCAGTTAGCTGAGATTGTGCCATTGCACTCCATCCTGGGCAACAAGAAACTCTGTCTCAAAAAAAAAAAAAAAGGAATTGAATCTGGGAGAATTTGCTTTTCGAGTAAAAAAATAAAGTTTGATTTTATGTGTGTATGTGTGCGTATGTATATATGTGTCTGTATCCTGAGTATTTCTTTGTGGCTTCTTCAGACGTATGAAAGAGGTTGGTAACGTTACCCTTACATTATAAGTATTACAAACTCGGTTTTACAAGGTTACGTAAACTAATGGCCCTGGGGCGACTGACAGGTGCCACTTTTGTGTTGATTTGTAGAACTTCCTTAGCTTTGGCATTTCCCCTAGTAAGTCCCAAGGCAAAACTAGGAATTGTCAGAGAGACATGACCAAACATGTATCAAAATTCTAGTGCGATTGGGAACTTGGTCTTCCTGATTTGTTTATACTTCAGCTAAACCCAGATACATAGTGCTCAGCAGAAATTATTCCAAATGTTGATACTCAAGACTGAAAGATGGATTAGGGAGAAGAGAAAACTTTTATTCTTGTGGACTTTTGAGGTATGAAATGTAATTATGAGAGTAGTTTTGCTTTTCTTTCCTCCACCTTGGTCTTCATTCCTTTGTTAAGAACTATATAGTGCCCCTGAGGAGGTGTCATTATTGTTCACTAACTTACCGTAAATCAGGGGTCTCCAACCCCCAGGCCGAAGACCGGTACTCACCTGTGGCATGTTAGGAACTGGGCTGCACAGCAGGAGGTGAATGGTGGGCGAGCAAGTGAAGCTTCGTGTGTGTGTGTGTGTGTGTGTGTGTGTGTGTGTGTGTGTGTGCGTTTTGAGACAAAGTCTTGCTCTGTCGCCCAAGGTGGAGTACAGCAGTGCGATCTCAGCTCACTGCAACCTCTGCCTCCCAGGTTCAAGGATTCTCCTGCCTCAGCCTCCTGGGTAGCTGGGACTACAGGAGCGTGCCATCACACCTGGCTAATTTTTGTATTTTTAGTAGAGATGGGGTTTCACTATCTTGGCCAGGCTGGTCTTGAACTCCTGACCTTGTGATCCACCTGCCTCCACCTCCCAAAGTGCTGAGATTACAGGTGGGGCGTGGCCCCCTGGCCAGCTTCATGTGCATTTATAGCCACTCCCCATC